TTACGACACGCGCTGATTAATGATACGCAAAAGGACGTGCCCTTAAAATAGTGTTATCTCTCCAAAAATTTAAGGATTTACGTCACGCATTATTGCGTGCCCTTAATTTAGTGTCTCAAGAAAAAAAAATTAAAAACACGGAGGGTGCTTTATCTTAAACGCGCGTCGTCTGTACCTGTCGCTTTATAATTTTAATGAAACGCGCTATTAGTAGACAAGGGGGAAACGAAATCCCCAAAATTTTGAAAACCCGCCTTGTTTTTTTATATCTTCTATCTATTTTTCATCCTTGCAATTCACTCTCCCCTCTCTGATACTCTCTCCTCTAGATCTCCATTCATTCTCTACCTCCCGTCTCATTGTAAACCTCGAAGGTGAATTGTAATTGATCTGCGAGGTCTCCTTTTTTTTTTTCTCAGGTACGACATCATCCCAATCCATTAACCCCTTTCATTTTTCATTAAAAAACCCTAATTGACTTGGCAAGTTCATGAACTAGATGTAGCACATTCCAAACTGGGGATTTAACCAAACCCGATAGAGCCATTGACGGAATCTTTGGATTCGGTCAACAAGGACTCTCTGTAATCGCGTAGCTTTCTTCACAAGGGATCGCTCCAGGTCTTCAATCTATCAATCTACAATGTCCATTGTCAAGTTACATCGAATCAAGGTCTAGGTTTTCAAATGCTTCAAGTTCTTCCCAAATAACTTTCCCTCTCAAGACGATTTTCCTCAATTTTCTATCGAACTTGGTAGATGTTGAATCGGTGCATATCGGTGTCAAGAACCTGACCCGAGATTTGTTGCATTTATGAATGAGGAAGATTTGGTAAGGCAACTCATTCGATATTCTACCTCTCTCGTGTTTTCAACACATAAAACACAAACAAACCTTGAAGTGAAATTTCAAGATTTTGAATAAGAATCCTCAAAAACCATCGTGATTTCAAACGAAACCCCTCACCTTAGAGTCCAGACGCTTCTTCTCTGTCAATAGCACATAAAATATAGGGTTTCTATTGTTTCTATCGACCAGAGACTTTCAATGGAGAAGACAAAATCTGGAAAGAAAGATTCAGATGCTTAGAAATTCAAGGGCATAAACAAAGTTTTTTGATGTATTGTTTCTATCTACTTTTTTTTTTTTTTTCTGTGAACTCTATGAATTAATTTTTCTCGTATGTGTTTAGCATTCCTCAAATCAAGAGACGAATTGTTGATGTGCTTCAACCTGGGGAGACAGTAAGTTTCTTGTTATGTCAAATTGTTCAATTGTCTTTTATTATTTTTCAAACTGATTGATGAAAATAATAAGTATAATATTCTTTTAAGGTGTTGCAAGCTTTATGAAGGCTGAAAGGAAGTTCTAATAGAAAGGAAAAGATGTTACCTGAAACAAAAATTGTGTCTGATCAACTAACTGAAGATGCCATGAAGCTGATGGAGGATGTTGACTACAGTTGAGATAATCTTCTTTCAACATTTTTCTTTATATTTATTATAAATTTGTCAACATTCTGATTTATGTCATAATTATTTCTGCAAATGTGTATGATGAAAAACAGGAGGTCTTTCAGAGGGAAGCAGGTAATTAGCATTTCTTTATAAGTTTAATAATGAAATGATTTAAATATCAATAATACAATATTTCTTATATTCTTAATTATTGGGAATGTTATTACGGAAACTCTGATTTCATTTGTTTTTATAATTACAGAGGGATTTGAGAACCTAGCACGTGCTAGAGGGTAAGGGACCTCTTCTAGTTCAGGAAACAAGCAACCTAATTCCTCTAGAATGAGTGATTCCGGTCTCAATGGAATACCTTCCACATATAATATTGCAAACAATGAGGATGATTCCTTTGACATGTTTCTTGAAGATGATGACAAATCTACTGTTGATCCATCAGCTGGTAAGCAGACATGAAGTTTTTTCGTTTTTTTCATTCAGATGGTTTATTACAATATTGCCCCTCAATTCTGTTTTCACTTGCAGGCATTGGATCTACAGAAAACGATTATGTATTTGATGAATCCTCAGGGTATGCATCTCTTTTTGTTTTCCATTCAGATTTATATTTAGTCAAAAAGAAACAACATCTTATTGTTTCTATATTTTTATTTTTTAATTTTTTTTACAGTTACTACTACAGCAGCAGTTTAGGATATTATTATGACCCATCTTTAGGACTGTATTGCAGTGCAGCATCTGGACAGTGGCAATATATTATATAATGTGGTCACTATTTTCAACCTGATTTAGTATTATTTGAATTATACTGATTTTGATTTGGAGATAAAATGTGGTTATATATAAAGTAATGTGTTTGTGATTTGTATTTTCCAGGTGTTCTTGTAACCAAGAAACTGGTGCCTATGAGGAGTTGCCATCAGGGGAAGGCAATGGAAATGGAATTGCAACATAGTGGAATGGAATTGGAATCATTATTTTCAACCTGATTTAGTATTATTTGAATTATATTGATTTTGATTTGGAGATAAAATGTGGTTATATATAAAGTAATGAGTTTGTGTTTTGTATTTTTCAGGTGTTCATGTAACCAAGAAACTGGTGACTATGAGGTGTTGCAATCAGGGGAAGGCAATGGAAATGGAATTGCAACATAGTGGAATGGAATTGGAATCACAGGTTTCACATCCTGCTGTGCGTGGTACTTATGGAAGCTTCATTCAAATTTCAACATGTTTAGGGTTGATGGGAGCTCTTTTAATCGGGATTCCTGTAAAGAGCTCTTTTAGTGTAATTAAAATTATTCCCTTTCATATTAGTCAATGTACTCATGCAAAATGCTTGGTCCATACACATTACAGCCATAGGGCTATCACCTGAGGATTGGATACAAGTTCCACCAGCATGAATTTTTCCTTTTCTGTTTTATAAATTATCATCATCAGTCAATCACGATGGCGAAGCATGAGCTTGTATAACATCATACCTTATTCGGTCATGGCTTGCATCCATACATTGCAAGAGCAAGAACTAGGTCTAGGTTATGCATATACAATATATTCTTAAAACATCTAACTAGTGATGTGCATGCTATTTTTAGGTATGTAGCTAAGAAAGAGGCAGGTTACATGCTTACCTGAGAAAGATGAGAAAAAAAACAAGTAAAAAGGCTTATCAAGGTGTGATTGGCCGAAAGAAACATGCAGCAAGCAAATACTTTTGATCAAGAAAGATAGCATGCAGAAGACGACTGTTGAGGAAGAAAACAAGCAAGCAAGTCGAAGCAGCAAGTGTGATCACATTTGATGATCAAAATAAATTAAGAATGAAAGCAAGTAAGAAGGTTGATCATGTTTGATGATCAGAAGAAAGAAACACAAAAAGGAGGATCAAACTAGGGTGGTTCTCGACTGTGGTGTGTTCCGGTTTTTGCTGTGGAGTTGATGGCTCACAGTGGTGTTGACAGTCCGGCTGTGATGGTGTGATCCTGAAGATAGCAAGCAGGTGGATTAGGTGTGTTTATGTTTTCAGTTGATACATATTAATGCTTATTTGATCAAGGAAGTGGCAGGAACTTACAAAATGGTTCCTGTGTTAACCATGTTTAGTCAAAAATTGAATTCTTTGACAATTTCAGTCCTTGGAACCTTGAAATAAATACTAAAATTGAAATGAAACCTTGAAATTAGGACCATAACTGAAAATTGCACCAACTTTGGACCAAACATGATAAACATCAGAAAGCACATAGACCATTTTTGTAATGTACTCTAATTTTAGGTTGCAAGGGCATTTCAGGTAGCGCCTAAACTTCTATGTTTGAAGATAAAGTTTCACTTCTATGTTATGCTTTGCAAAGGGCTTTTCAGGCAGCACCTAACCGGCTTATGACTAACAATGCCTACCTGGCTTTATTGGGCGCCTCGGTATGACTTCATATTCAGTATTGTATGTATGAATTTTTTTCCCCTTTTAACAAACTAAAAAATAGTATCTTTTTGTACCAGTTAAATGCATCCACAATAGATGAGGGACTAAACTTCTATAACCCACAACATCGCTTTAAGCACTCATAACTTCTGTTGGTTCTTTTGAGTTCACTTCCACATCCGCCAAAGACTTTTCAGTGTTGCGTATTACAGGTACTGTTGTTTTCATTTCTACCCTTGTCCCTAGAAAATGTATTTTGTATATTTACTTCTCCATTTGATTTCAGGATTTTTTGATTTTGGCTTGCAGTCATGCTGTTTCCATTTATACCCTTGTCCCTGGGGAGTATCCTTATATTCTTATACTCATTTCTCATCTTCTATATATAATTTTATTAGCTTTTCTATCTTTCTGCAGTTATATTTAGTCGATTGGATCCAGGAGAAAAACTCGTTATAGGTTGTCGAAAAGCAACAATTTATGCTGAAACACAGGTATAATTCTTTTGACACACACATACATACATACATTTATGCATGTATTATGTTAATGAGTGAATCTCTATGAAAAAAACAAGCAGAAAGGTGAAACAGAAGCTGTCAATGGTGTAATATTTTAAGGTGAGCTCTGATCTTATTAATACAACTCAACAAAGATATGAATTCAAATAAAATTAAAATTGATTTTATAGGATGCAAAGTCAGATCGATTGAAGCAACTATTGAAAGAGACCAAGAAGTATCTCCAAAAGTTTGGATCAGCAGAGCCTTTGAAGCAGATAATGGAATCACGCTGTCGTTACCTGAAGATTTCGGAGAAGACGTCGGCGACAAGGTCCACCATAATCGTACCTTTCAATGGAATCTCTTGGTTCTTTGATATCTTCAACTACTACGTCACTTCTGATGACCAAGATATTTCTAGAAAGGAACTTCAGCTTGATAGCCAGGCAATTTATTATATTACACATTACACATACTATACATACACTTTCATATTTATTACTCTGCAAAATGTGGATTGACTTTACTAGTTTCTTCAACAATTATCATAGATTTTTCTTTCAAATAACCTTCATATCTGTCCAATTACCTTTCTGATTAGGGTTCTTTCTTCAAGTGTTTTACTTTGACATTGGGAAAAACAGGAGGGGTCGGTTTCTCAAGGTACGTAGTTGTGTAATTATGGTTTCAGTATGCTTAAAAACGTGGAAGCTTGTAGGTTTTTCTGTTTGTGCATGTATAATCATGTAGGAATCACTAGGGGTATATTTGTCTGAAAAAGATCCTATTTTGATGCCATCACAAGATTCATGGCTATCTGTGGGTACTATTAGACGTGAGGCTGGGAGTAAAGTAGCTGCAGTTGAACAAATTCAAGAGACCCCTCTTGTGATCAAATCGACTTCTTGTGAGAATTTTTTTTTTTTAAATTTATTTAATCACCATTTTGTTATCATCTTGTTTTGTATTTGAAATTATTTTTTATTTAATGTAAATTAATTGTATTTATGAATGGTTAAATATGACAGCTGGTTCTGAGCAAAGGAAGGTGGGACCCAGTGAGCTTCTGGGAGTGGGGAAGAATGTGGTTTCAGAGTCATCTTCACAACCAGGATCATCTTCTCATGTCTCCTTTTCCATGAATGGACATATGATGCAATGTGCCATGATTTACTTGAAATGGAGGGAAATAAATATGTTCACGTGGTTAGTGTAGTGTACATTGTTTATTATTATAAAATCTTGTTAGTGAAATTTTTTATATTATTTTTGTATTATACGCCAAGTAATTATATTGCTTAGGTTCCAAGCAAAACAGGTGATGGTTATGAAAGGAAAGAGGTCCTTTTAGAGGATCATGATCTAGTATGGCTGGAGCTCCGACATTCCCATATAGCAGATGTATGTCTTTTTTAGGTTTTTTATTTATTTGGTTTTGGTTTTTAATAAAATATATAATTATATAGCTTTTGATCAATGGTTCATTGTCGGGCTAGTGAACGCTTGCATGACAAGATGACAAATTTTGTGTCCAGAAATAAAGCTGCTCAGATGCATGGCAGGTCTGTTTGTTTGTTTTTTCTAGTATGCATGAGACCAAATGACCATTTTACTCTTATGAGACTAAATGACCATGTAAATTGTTGTTGTATACATAAGGTCTGTTTTTTTTTTCTTTCTAGAATGAATAAACTGTCTGAATGAGACTAAATGACCATTTTACCCTTGTAATTCAACAAACATTCATAATTGTTTTTGTAGAGATGGTGGGGAGATGTCTACTCGTGACTTGCAAAAGATGGTTCAAGTATTGCCAATGAACAAATGGACAAACTATCCCTCCATGTTGATGTAAGTCACTAGGGTATTTGCTTGTTTGTTTTTTTTAAATAAATAAATAAATAAATCCAGGGTTATGTTGATATAATGGTCAACTATGTCTGATACTAGTTTGGCTGAAACAGCTTGCTGGAAAGATTAATGGTATTATCAGGGAGATGGGGCTTAGAGAAGTGGGGCAATTAGAGCAAGCCCTTGTCTTTGGAGATGCAGGAACAAAAGATATCATTAAGTTTCTCAAAGAACAAGTGAGCAAACAGCAGGAATTAATAATTTATTATATGCATTCCAGATTTCATGTCCATAATTGTAATGTTGTATGCTGTTGCTTCATGCAGGATGCAACAGATGAACAAAAGATCCGAGTATTAATGATATATGTAGCAACTCATCCCGAGAAATTTGAGACTGATAAACTTGCAAAGATATTGGAGGTGAGGATCTTTTTTTTTCTTACTATTACAGCATTTTATTTTTGTTATCAAGGCATTGTAGTTTGTAAAATATACCCAATTACAGCATTGTATTTTTGTTATCAAGGCATTAGTTTTATAGGAATGTATAACCCATGTTAGCAATGTTTTATTTTTGTTTAACATTTGAATGATTCTTTGTATGACATTACAATTTGTGTAATTTATTTTATTTTTTGAGTATGAAATTTATTTTATATTATGCAATGGATTGTATTTTTTGTATATGGTATTTTATTTCTATTATGAGAAATTAAATGCAAATTTAATTTAAAAATTAATAAATATATAAATTTATTTTTTTTAAACATTTAAATTTACGATACGCAAAAATGTGTGTCATCTTCATTTATGACATGGCCTTTCTTGACAGGGGCTTTCTTGATACGCATTGCGTGTCATTAACACGCGCGTCGTAAGGTTACGACACGCGAATGCGTGTCATCTTCCTTTATGACAGGGCCTTCCTTGATACGCATTGCGTGTCGTAAACGCGCGTCGTAATTGCGCGTCGTAAATGCGCGTCATCTATAGACGACGTGCAAAAGCGCGTCGTCTCTCTTTATGACAGGGCCTTCCTTGACGCGCATTTGCGCGTCGTCTGAGCCTTTTACGACGCGCAATGAGCGTCGTAAAAGGCTATTTTTCTAGTAGTGAACCTAACAATCAACCAACCTTCTCTTTTAAGAAAATATGGGATTTTCTTGGATAACAACTTTTCGGTAAACTAAAAAACTCGTACATTTTCACAAAGCAAACATCTTATGAACTCACCAGCTTTATGCTGATTTTCAAACTGCTTGTATTCTCAGGTCAACATTAGACAGGTACCTAGCGAATCTTTTGGAGAAGACGGAGCGTACAGAAGACTCGTCTCTACTTTTGTTCATATATACTATGTATTACAAATGTACAACTTTACTTTTGAACAAAATGTAAACTTTGATATGTAATGTAATGGTTGTTTACTTTGCTTACTATGTACATTGGATTTGAGACTCAACTTGGAGTCAACCCCGGAGACGTTTCTGCCATTGGTTTTCGGGGTGTGACAGATTGGTATCAGAGCCCTTGTTTATAGTGAATGGAGTATACCAAACCTTACATGGTATAAAACTATAAACACTAAAGGGCCTAAATGCTCTGAACTATAAGTATACCTCAAATATGAGTATTTTCAAAAGTATACAAGTATACCCAATAGTCGAAAATCCGTAACTACAAGTAGAACAAAACATAAGTAAATGGGTGTTGTACACTGAGGTTAAACCTGGGCAGTTATGTAGTCGTGTCTAGTATCAATATAGCCTGGCCAACTATATTCATGCAAGACATGGCCAACATGTGCTTGGGAGTGACTGTGGTACGCAGCATGCCTAAGACTTACCCAATACCCAAACAATGAGCCATCGTTGCAGCGAATCATGAAATACTATGGGAGTATTTCTCGTGCCAAATCCGTTATAGAATTTCTCATCCTAGCGTTACTCCTTAATCATTTCTTTAGCGATAATTTACATGTTTGATAAATCCTTCCTGTTTTATCGCTTAATAGAATTCTATGTATGCCATAAAGAGATATCCTTTGTATCATATCTCTTGATTCAATTCAAAGGACTTATCATCCTCTCTTCCTGATCTTATTAGATCAAGATGCCTACAAGAAAGAGACCCAGCTCGTAGAACAACAACAACCCTCCTCAAACACCACCTTCTCTTCAAATCTACCTGGCAACCCTTGAATCAGTTTTAACTGCAGCATTTTCCGTAGCCATGTCACAAACGAACCCCGGAAGTTCAGGAGGTGGTCCCCAACCTCAAAACCAGGAGAATAGCCAGGGACACCGAAAGGAGTGTTCCTATAAAGACTTTATGCATGCGAAACCTACATTCTTCGATGGAACAGGAGGTGTCATTGCTCTAACTCGATGGTTAGAAAGAATCGAATCCATCTTCGAGATCTGTGCTTGTTCAGAATCCGACAAAGTGAAGTTTGCCGCTTGCACTCTCACCAACAAAGCCCTGACTTGGTGGAATAGCCGAGTCAAATCTCTAACTCTACCTGTAGCCAATGCTATGGGTTGGGAAGTTATGAAGGAACTTCTACACGCTGAGTATTGCCCTCGGGGTGAAATCCAGAAGTTGGAGCATGAACTTTGGAATCTGGAGATGAAAGGTTCCGATATCGCTGCCTACACATCCAGATTTGATGACTTAGCACTTCTTTGTCCAGGGATGGTTACCCCTGAAAGTCAAAAGATTGAGAGGTTTATCTGGGGATTAACCCAGCCAACCAAAGGGAACGCCTTAGCTGCGAGGCCGGATACATACGATAGCGCCAAATGCCTAGCGCAAATCTTGATTGACCATAGTGAGGACGTAGAGGAAGCAGCCACCACTCCTGAGTCGAAAGAAAGAAGCGGTGAGAAAAGAAAGTACTGGGAGGCAGGGGATACGTATCAGCCTTCCCAGGAGTTCTCGAAGAGACAACAAATGGTGACAGTCCACGCTGCCACTACCCCTGCTGTTGTACCCGTCATCGGTTCCTCAGCTCAAGCACCTATTACCGGATATGCTGGTGTTCTCCCGTGGTGTAACCAGTGCAGTTACCACCACTATATCCCCGGTCCCTGTCGCATAAAACTTTGCAAAAATTGTGGCCAAGAGGGTCACCTTGCGCGAAATTGTAGAACACCAACAAATCAAGCTCCCGGAGCGGGCATTAATCAGGTCTGTTATGGTTGCGGAAAGGTCGGGCATTATAAGAGAAACTACCCCAATGCAACAACAGTTGGCAACTCTGGAAGAGTCCTAGCTATAGGACAAGGTGAGACATCCACCGATCCCACAGTTGCCCCAGGTATATTCCTTTTTGACGATCATTTCGCTTGCAGTTCTTTTTCAACTCTAACCTAGAAAGATAAACTGTTATCTATTCATTCGAATCTCTCCATAAACATAGAACTTTTCGAAATCCTCATTAGGATTGACCCCATAGCCTATAAACTTCGATTAACCTCGAAACTTAGAAACATTCCTATGGTACGTTACGTCTCGATCTTTTAGAAATATCTACTCAACTAAACCAAGACGCTTCCCGATAGTGAGGGTTCACTGGAACGTCTAGTGGAGACTCGATTCCACGTGAAGCGTGAAGATCCGAAGCAGTAAACTCAGCCACGATTCTCTTTTCAACTTGCAATTTGAGTCCAAATCTTTGAATTTCGGGACGAAATTCCCTCTAACGGGGGGATAATGTAACAACTCGAAGTTTTCCATCGTCAAAAACTTGTTCTACCCGTGAGATTTCGCCGTTAGTCGATCCGTTTTTTTCTCGCTTTGGGTTAATTAATTAAAATTTATACGTTTATTTTAATATAATGAGTGTTCAAATCCCTTGGAACTCATAAAATTAACCCAAAAGTATTCATTTCAAAAGGTTAGAAACATTCCCGCCGGGTGACGGTAACTTAATCGGGTGCGATCAAAAGCCCCGTTTAATGCCGGTATCGGGTAGAATTCCACCGCGTCCAAGTTTTGGGAACTATATAAACGTGTTTTAGCATCCATTTGAAGCTTTTTCCTTCTCTCTCTACTCTTTCTCTAACCTCTCTCCTAAAATCCAAGATTTAGGGTCCAAAACTCAATTTTAAGGCCTCAAATCCTTAAGGTAACTTCCTAACCTCATTGTATAGTTTAATTGACTTCCAAATTCGAGACTTAAACATGAAATAGGACACAAAGTATGAGTTTACGGCCCAGGAAGGTGCCTAGGTCGTAAACACCAAAAATGAAGGGTTTTGAGCCCTTAAACCCCTCCTTGACAAGTTTGGGACTTAGATATGGCTAAATGGATTCAAGATATGGACCCTAAGCAATTAAAACATAATCTTTGTGAAGTTTGAAGGAGTTTACGGCCAAGGATCATTCTTGGGCCGTAAACTCATTAAACTAGGGTTTTCATGCCCTTAAACTGTAACAGCCCGGAATTTCAGGTATCGTTATAATTTGTTTTGGGGTGTTTTAGGAGGGGACTCGGCGAGTTAGAGCCAGACTCGCTGAGTAGGACCACAGACTTGGTCGCGGGTTCACGACTGGACTCGACGAGTCCATATATGGACTCGGCGAGTCGACGCTGTTCAGCGAAAACCCTAGCCGTTCAGTTTTGGGACGTATATAAGGGACCTTATGTCGTCATTGTCCGTCTTTTAGTCGATTGAGAAGAACCCTAAGCGGCTGTGGCATCTAGAGCAAGCTTGAAGGCCATTGGTGACCTTGAAGGAATTGTTGTGCAAGAAGGAGAAGGGTTTTGGCTAAAGGAACTGCAAGGGATTCGAGTTCTGAGGTTTGGGGACACAGAAAGTACATCATTCAGGTAATAACTCAGATTATATTCTTCTATGATTGATGTGTATATGGATTTAGGGTTTATGGAACCCATTTGATGACTAGATGGATTATTACCTTGTTACCCAAACAAATATAACCCTGTATTAGGACCTTTAGAGGTCCAGAAGGTCCCATGCTTGTGTATTCGGAAAAATACTTGTCTCAGGAAGCAGTTTAATCGACTGCATGGCATGGACTCGCCGAGTCCAATGAACAGACTCGGCGAGTAGCTTGGAGATTGACTGGGACTCGTCGAGCTGTTCTTCAGACTCGGCGAGTGGAGTCGGGGTGGCCCCGCGATTCTTCCACAAGGAACTCGTCGAGTCAAGAGGGATACTCGATGAGTAGAAAGGAACACCAGAAGTTGGTGAGGACGTCTAGACTCGCCGAGTCGCCTTTGCACTCGCCGAGTCCGGTCAAGTTGACCGTTGACCGTTGACCAGAGTTGACCTGCATGTAAATTCTTAGGGTCAGTGTCTTGAATGATAAGAGTATTAATAAGGGATATATGATATTATAGGGAGTCTGTAGCTCGGCGGATCGAGTACGAGTGATTTCAGGAGTTACTAGCTTTCATTATCCACGAGGTGAGTCTTCTCACTATACTGTACCCGGAAGGGTTTGTGTAACACCGTGAATTTCAAGGTAAAATTTTCATTTTTATTTAATCAAATTACTATTAAAACACTTGTTTAAAATCTCATACACATTTGAATTACAAAAACATAG